CAGGTGCACCATTTCTCTCCACTAATACCAGCAGCGAATATTTTAGCAGCTGCTTGCCATGTCATTAATCTTGGACTGACTTGTTCGGTGTGTGCAACAGGAAATATTTCGCTTTTGGAGAACAAGAAAAATAGGTTTATTTGTGTTATCTTTATTAATTTGTGCAGTTATGCAGTGTCTGCTAAGTTCATGTTCAAGAAAAAATATTAATTTTATTAAAATGTTCTATGATTTTATGTTAACAATTACTTGTTTATTTCAGCCCTTTGTTTCAGCATGTCTCTATCGAAATAAACCTACATTTCTATGAAAATTGAAGCTTTTGTTTTTTTGTGGCCACATAAACTTGAGCCTTGTTTACTTGGCCGTATTAGCCTTTGAGTTTGACATGCTTGTTAAACACATTCAAAACAGTTAAAAAAATTTCCCCCCTTTTATGCAGCATTCCAATTTACAGAATCTGTGAAAACACAACAAACTATTGTTGAACTACTCAACGAAGGGGGGCGTCTGGTGTGTGTGTAGAAAGGAAGTGTGTTAAGTGACAGAGTTTGAAAACAAACAAAAAATGTCAACCAAATGAACAGTATTTAATAAATCTTTGTGGGGAAAAATGATATCCAAGAAAAAGTAACACCATGAAAGAACAAGAAAAGTTTTATAATTATGCACTTTATTTTTATTTACTATACCAACATTTTCAGGAGACTTTACATTTAGTTTTATAATTCATTTTACAAGCAAATTCTAATATACAGTATTTACCTTGAACTGGATTTTAAAAAATCAATGGGAAAAACAATACTGCAGATATTAAAGACTGGTGTGTTTTTGTTTTTAGTTAGTAATGACTTAGAGACTTTAAATTCTTTAGGTCAGTGTTTTTGTTATAGCAATGCTTTACCAAGGAGAAAATGGATAGCTTTTCCACAACAGTTAAAACATCTGATATATCTTTAATTAATAGCATAGTTGTAGATTGTCACCCACCATCATAAATCATTTATTCAAATGTATTCTTTCAAATTCCTGCCGCAAAAACACTGAAGGAAGGTGTGGAAAAAAATTAGATAATTTAATTCAAACATCAATATTAAGAAAAATAGCAAGGCCATCATCCCCAAGGAAAATATCAGGTATTTGTATTATAGCTTACAACTAACTTTAATGTGTGCATACGCATGCAAACATAACCACTCAACTAATCCATGAACACGAAAACCACTGTACGTCTGAGTGAACAGAAATGTGCTGCAAGCTTGCTGATCTCCAGTGCAAGCCCATTTGGTGATTCCAAATCCCATCCTCTGTGCCCTCGAGACCAGGAAGTGGTGGTGACAACTGCTCAGACAGGAGGTACCTCCGTGTTTAACACCATCTGTGCTGCAGGAAGACTTAGAAGTGTTGGCCACAGGAGGGTCATGTTCTCTTTGATGCGTTGAGTAAAATACTTAAGGGGTCAATGAAACACTCAAGGAAGTTAGTGCTTTAGTGGGAAAAGTGGCACGAGGAGGGTGTAATTCTGTGAACCGATGATTTCAACAAAAAAGCCACACCCAATAGGAGGCATTTGGATGTTTCAGGCACAGCTCCAAGCAATTAAGCTCATTTAAAGTGCAAATCTGATATTTTCTTTCATATTTAGGTTTTTACTTGTTAAAATATTTAGGTTCCCTAATATCTATACAAATACAAAACAGTAGTCGATATGCCTGAAGATATTGCACAAATTAAAATGAGACTACAAGAGAAAAACGTTAGAGGGCCTCAGTCTTTAGAAACATTCTAAATGACTTTTACATCTAAATGATGTGGTCCTTTAATGCACCAGTCATCTGCACCAAGGCGGATAAACTCCTCACGCCAGGCTTTCTTTAAAGAATTTTGTGTGCATCCCATTAACAGCCCAATGTATGCACTTGTACATACTCTAGTAATTTTTCTTTCACACAATATGAAACTTAACCAGTCCCCAGAAAACTTCTTCCTCAGGACTTGGAATTCCAGCACTGCAACCATCTTCACTGAAATCACAAGAACTAAGATAAAAGTGACCTGAACTCCTACTCAATGAAGGCTGAGTACTCTGTGCGTGTAGAAGGAACTGCATTAAGTGACATACAGAGTTGATATACAGAAACATTAAACGGAGATTAAGCCAAATCAGGCAAGCTATAGCCTCACCTCATTTCCGACTTAACAATTACTAAGGAGCAGCCTAACACAATATTCTTGCATTTTAATGAAAACTGCAGACAAATACTTTGTTGGTTTTGTGAAAGCATCTTCAATGTTTTTCTCTTAAATGTATGATGCCTCATAATTATATTGATGAGCCTTCTGCCAAAATCAAGGCTAAACAGAGGTACAGGGAGTTTGAAATGATGGGTTCATTCATATTTCTGTATATTAATCAGGAAGAAAAAAGATCAGGAAAATATCAGAATAAAAGAACTGCAGAAGCCAATATTTTTATGTAATAGACATTTCCCTTAGACTAGAGGGTTAAAATAATGTAAAAAAATAAAACTTTTAGCTTAAAGATCAAGGCTTACTAATGACTGTTACACAGGAGTATATATGTGCTCCATGCTGCCGGTCGGCTCCAACGCCTGGGGCCGATGCCTGAGTGAGTGATGAGCACCCTGCCCGTCTGCAGCACCTGCTCAGCTCTGCAGACTCAGGCCTCACCTCTGTGTGGTCTCTTCTCCGCTGCCTTCCAGTGTCCCGGCATCATTGTCTTTTCCAAAGAACCCGCCCCCTCATGATATGTCTGTCTATCAACTTCTACATCAGCCAAAGGCCTCCTGACTCATCAGAATGAATTATGTAGATAAACACATTTTAAATTATTATAAAGTCAGTGTTTATTTAACATACAGTTCACTTTCAAAATTTAAAGGAATCTACAGAAATACTTTTTTTTGCCAATGCCTATTTTCAAACTGATGACTGGTTTGGTCCAGGAACTGCTGGTAACATGAAGCAAACATTTTATTTGATATTTGTGCACCCTCAATGTTGACTGCTGTTGGTTTTTTACTGTAAACTGTATCTTCTATACATCCTCATTAAAAAGTCTAGTGGCATTTTAGGGTAAATTTTCTTTGTTAAAAGCTTAGTCTGACTTCACCCATCACTATATTTCAAATCAGTTAACCCTGAAAGGAGTGAAAACTCCATGAGTCACCAGCTGTTAAAGTGTGTGTACGTTTTTGGGGACCCCTCTTTAGTGTAATAACACCCCACTTATAATACATGAGGTCAGCTTCTTTCTCCTCCCAAATGAAAGAGCACCTGTGCCCACTGACAGCTACAGCCATCACTGCTAGTCTCTAGCACAAACAAGAGCTTTGCTGCGGTGGCCTGATACCAACACCTTCTGGACAATGTGAAGTTTCTGAACTTTTGTGTTTCTCCTGCAGAAGTGCTGCTGAATGAGAGGATGGTGTTGCCTGCTACCAAATCCAAGAATGGTTTGTAGCCAGTGAAGGGCAAATTCACTGGAATGGTACGGGAAGACTACCTCAAAATGGTAGTAATCCATCAACTCTTTTGAAATTTACACTAAAGCACCTGCTGTTATTTCTTTAAAAGGGGGCAGAGAGTTTCACCAATGTACATTTTTAAAAAGAATCTCTAGAAATGTGAGTGGCTAATTTTTTGGCCAGAACCCCTTTTGATACATTTTGGTCAGCTGACCACAACAAAAATCTACATTGTGAAAGCCCATCTCTCTGAAAGACAGTAACTCTAACCAAAGCCACAACAGGCAAACCACCTCAGGACATGATCTGGGAGAGCAGGGCACACTGACGGAGCTTCTGAAGAGCGCCCATAGCATGATTAGGTTAGCGCTCCTGGTCCCCTGGTGCTCCACAGCTATCTTCCTAGGACATTAGTTAAGCACACTGCCACTGACATATCTTTTAATACCTTTAATAAAACACAATTTCCACTCTCTAATTCTATTTCTCTTCCCAAACCTACTTTTTAAGAAACTGACATTCAAATACACACCAACATAAAGGGGACCTGACAACTCAGCAAAAGCGCTGTGTATTCTAGCTTTCTCAAAATGGTCTACTTACATTTATAATTATTGCCAAAATATTTTAGCTTTTTTTTTTTTGCTCAGAAAATAGTCTAATTCCCTATGCATGGGATATTTATATCCCATCCAAGTTTTGTGCAAACATTTCAAGTCCATTATTCCGGTCTTCAGATATTAGCAGAAACTCAATAAATATACATATTACAATAAAGACTTAATTTAAAATATATGCTGTGATTTTAAAACAGCTATCTTGAATCCATAAGCCTATAGGGTCAAAACTGAATTACCAGCAAAACTCTAGCACCAACACGTTACAAATGAATATACCTTTAGGGTATAGGTTTCAAGATGTGTCTTAAACTTTCCAAAATTTATCCAGTACCAAAAGCAAACACAGTGGTGTGCATATATAAACAAAATGTTAAAGTGATATGTAATTGGTTTATACATCCTATGAAACATTTTATCCTGGGTACTTGGTAAGTTAATATTGAGAGCAGCTTACTGATCCTAGCAAGGAAAGACAGAACTCATAGCTTCCCATGGAAGGCAGGGTCTCCTTTGTCCATCATAGAGCTTTCGTATAGACCTTTTCAATCTACGAATCACTGGCCAGAACCCTGCTTACAGACTACCTACTGCTTCCTACCACCACCAAATCTTTACTTAAAAGAAGAACCATGGTCACAAGAGGGCAAGTGAAAAAGAGTGAGGCTCTGACCACAATCAGTCCAGACCGTTAGAGGATGAGGGGCACGAAGGCGCATGTCTTGCCTGCTACGTGGCGGACTGGGCCTTTTCTGGTGTGCGAGCAGTGGTCACAGGGTGAGAGCCTCTGTGGGCCTCTGAGATGGGAAAGCAAACGCTCATGTTCACCTGAGACAAATACACTTCACTGCTATGTGCTTCGACCAGGATATAAATGGAAGAGCCCAAACGAGTAGAAGCTTCCACATTTTAATGTTTTAAGATTCGCAAGCTTTTAATGGAACCTCCACCATGGCAGCAAACTGCATGTAAAGCTATTACAGATTTTTTTAAAAAAAGACAAATTGGCAGGTGATGACTATGTACTTAGTGTATCTTTGGTTTAGGAAGACGAGAATACCGATTAGACGACAAACCATCCCCAGAATTCAAATTGCCATTTGGGTTCTGCATGATCTCTTTTCTCTTTGTTAATGGCCTTGGGATACTTGTCTTGGCCTGGAAGTTTTGAGGCTCTGGTCGGGGGTTGATTATTTGTTTTTGTTTAAAAGAGCCAGAAGGAGGGCGGAGCTTAGATGCTCGTGGATTTAGATTATTTGCAAGATTTGTTTGACTAGACGTTAGCTGAATTTTTGCTGAATTACATGGTGCCATTACTGGTAAGTTCTTACAGGTGGGAGTCCTACTTGGAGATGATTCAGAAACTGAAGGAGGTACCAAAGAACTCAAGATGGATGGCTTCAAAAGCTGCAAGGATTTGGGCTGAGACGTGTCGTCCTCTGGTAAAGACTGGTTTCTTCCAACTCTCTTAGCCTGGTCTCCTGAACTCGATTGGGTAAGTGTTTGAGAAGAAGTGGGTACCACCTGCATGTCATTCATTGGATTATTTGCCAAATGATAAGGCTCTGGAGCATCCACGGTCATGTCCCAGCCTGCTGCCGAAGGCGCACTCTTAGCCACCTCCTCAGTGAGCTGCGGGCTTGAGGAGAAAGGCCGGCCTTCCAGGCTACCGCTGCCTTCTTGCTGCAAGTCATGTGCAAAGCTGTCATCCTGGCATGCGGCCCCTGGATGGGCGCCCTGGCCCGCGAGCTCGCTGTGGTCCTCGCTATGCTGCCATTTTGTTAGTTTTCCCTGGGCGTGGTCTGTGGGTCTGGCAAGGCTGCTGGAAGGCTGTAGTACTTGAGGCTATTAAAATTAAAAACAACATTAGCAACAACTCATTTTAGAAATGCCTCCTAGAATTAACATAAGTTCCAATTCGGCTGTGTTGGTACTTACTACGTTTTAATGTAAGAAGTATGTGAGATTCTTTTAAATTAAAAAATAAATTGCAACATTCAACTAAATTCATGAGACACACTAACGAATGATAATGCAAATAAAAATGATACAGGCAGTAAACACTAAACAAGATTCAAAATCAAACAGGAGGAAAGAAAAATCTTAAAAGTACTGATTTATTGTTGAAAAAAGATTCCTGCCTCAATTGACTCATTACATACTTACAACTTTATATATAAGAGTTTGACAGAGGACTTGCATGTCACTTTGTTTTAATCTCCATAAAGCATCTAGATAGTAACTGTGATCTTCAGAATATTACCAATTTTTAAGATTTTTTGAAAAGGAAAGCGGTACACCACTTTATCACACTTGACAAACGGAAGAATTCCTTTAAAAGTGTCAAGGTGCACTACTCTATGGAGAATTAAAATTACCAGCAAATAAGGTTTAGAATTAAGATTGTATTTTCAGTAGATATGAAATTGTATTTAAACAAAAAAAAATCGGTCAATGCACTTAGCTAATGCTAACCCACCTTTAATGTTCTTGCTGAGATGTTTCAGAATAACATATGTTCACCCCTATTTGTCTGTCTCACTGTCATCTGAGGGGTCAGCTGCAATTCTGCTATGGCCGGCACGCAGAAAGCAGGTTTGCCTTCCCCACGAGCGAACACCCACTCAACAAAATTAAAAATGATCAGCCTTTTGAATGATGGCTGAGATTAAGCAAATCTGAAATTGCCTGTACCTTGAACTAAAGCTCAGAAGCCTACAATAGCAAAGTTCTCAAGAGGCCCATGTGCCTTGCACACACTTTTCCTGGAGCTCACTGTGTGGTTAAGATTCTATACAATCAGAGGAAATGTGCTACTTCCATTACTTTTGTGCATTCGCAAAGAAATATGAATCTTAATGTTTTCTTTCAATGGCCCAAAGAGTAGTTTACATGGGGCAGAGCCTATTGTTCCTGTCCTGATTCAGGGCGGTTGCTACAAATGTATAAACACACACACAGCCTCTTTCTATTAAACAATGTGGGCTCAAAGTATCAAAAAGTCTGGCATGGGGCTTTGAAACATGAAATTAAAGGACGATTTTTTACTAATAAAATAGCTTTTCAAAATATGCCAATCCCTAAACAAACCTACACAGTATTTCTAACTTCTCCACAGAAGGGGCGAACCTGTTGATGGCATGCTGCATCACCTGTCCTGCTGCTTTCCCACCTCCTGCACCAGCACTGAGTGAAGGCGTAGGGTCAGCCACCGGGGATTAGGTGATGGCGGGTTACCAGGGGCCGGGAACAAGCTCACTGACTCAGGGTGGGTAGAAGCCATGATGGCAAAGGGCTGATTTGCTATTTAAAAAATAATAAAATCAAGACAATGACTATTCAAAATTAATCTATACGAATATATAATATTAAACTCTCTTACTTGAGAATGTTTAAAATAAATAAGCTATCTCAGTTTTTACTTTCAGTGAAATATCCTAGACTTTAAAGTCAGTGGGCATTTTCACAATCAACCACCACAGAGATGAATAAACTGTCCTTCAAGAATGAAGTTTCTAAAAAAAAGAAGAATGAAGGTACTAAAATCACCATGTAACTAATTCAAAAGACTCTCCTTGGGGTTTCCTTGAGAAAATGACCATGCCAATGTGGTCATAGACTTTAGAAAAATGACCAAGTGGAGAGCAGGACCATGTCAGGCAAACGAAAATATACCAAAGAGGAAAAAAAGCAACTGAATGACTTTGTCTTCCTTCCCCTTTCACCCTAAAAACTATAGTTTCAAGTTAAACATCTTAAAGCAACTAAGACCTTTGAAAATATCAGTAACAATTTAAAAAATGATGCCTTCATCGTAATATGTCTACTGCCAGTAAGAAAAAAAGATATAAATATGTGCTAAAAGCATAAAAAGGTATGATTTTTCTAATTAAGGTGAAGTAATACATTAAGAAAATCAACTCTCCAGAAAAGGGGCAGTGTGAACTGTAGATAGATTATCCATTTGCACTGTTCTGATTACTTGTGTTAACTGACTAGTACTTATCAGAGAACTAAATGGAAATACAGCAGCGAGAACGATGTCTGCTTATATTAAATGCAATGAAGCTCCACATCAAATATGAAAGAACTTGAAAAATAGTTTTTTAAAAATAAAATTTTAAGTCTTTTAACTGAGAGGAGTTAAGATTGAACAATTACCTTTAAAAAGTCTAAACTATCACTTGGTTACATTAAATAAATCAGTGGTTTCTGAATAATGAATAATGTAGATTTTCTGTTTTTACTAAAAGTGGTAGGATATAATTTCCTTATCCTAAAATAAATGTATTGCTTTATTGTTTAATTGAAAACTAGTTTGGAAAATAATTCTACTCTTGTAAAGAAAAACATTTCTTACATTTTGCTAGTTGCCAGATGGGGGAGAGGGGGTGCTGGGGGATGAGAGAAAAAGGTGAAGGGATTAAGAACTACAAATTTGTAGCTATATGACAGTTATCTAATCTAATAAGGAGGGAATATGCTAATTGGCCCTCACTCTGTCGCAAAGATGGTGGCTCCCACAGCCAATAAGGAGGGAATATGCTGACTGCCCTGCCCTCAAAGATGGCAGGATCCACAGCCAATAAGGAGGGAATATGCTAATTGACTGTCATGCCCTCAAAGATGGCGGCACCCACAGCCAATAAGGAGGGAATATGCTAATTGACTGTCATGCCCTCAAAGATGGCGGCACCCACAGCCAATAAGGAGGGAATATGCTAATTGACTGCAACGCCCTCAAAGATGGCGGTGCCCAGTCCCCTCAGCCCCCCAGCTGCCCAGGGCCGCCCGAGGCTCAGGTAACCAGGGCCGGCCGAGGCTTGCGCTGCCGGCAGTGGCAGCAGCAGAGGTGTGATGGGGGTGTCGCCTTCCCCTGATCGCCGGGTCGACTCGGGTCCCTGATGGCTCCCGGACTGTGAGAGGGGGCAGGCCAGGCTGAGGGACCCCCCTCCAGTGCATGAGTTTTCATGCACCAGGCCTCTAGTGAGGATCTAAAGTGCAGCATAGGGAATATAGTCAATAATATTTTAGTAACTATGTATGGTGTCAGATGGGTACTAGATTGATCAGGGTGATCACTCTGTAAGTTATATAAATGTCTAATCATTGAGTTGTGTACCTGAAACTAACATAATACTGTAAGTCAATGGTAATTTAAAAATAAAAAAATTAATTAAAAAAGTCTCTAGAACAAGATCAAGGTATGACTATATCAAGGACCGAGGAACCGACCTGCGCCTGATGTGTGGGAGGTTGTGGAGAGCTGGTTCCCACCCAGGACTGGGCTGCTGAACACGCTGCCCCTTAGCATCCAGCAAGCAAAGGAGAGATGTGTCCTGATAGACTGCTGCTTGCAGTACCACCTCCCAAAATTCTAAACCCTCAAACCTATCAATATAAAGGCAAAATGTTAACAATTCACCTTGCCCACTCTCACTACTGTTTCTATGCTCTCAGACAACTTTAGAATAAATTTAAATATATAAAGAAATATCCATATTTTCATGAATAATAAGACCAACAGGAAGGAATATTAAAGACCATTCATCCATTTTTTAAATGTCAATGATGTGTCGTGCACTGTTAGGTGTAGGAAAAGATGATGGAGCTGAGCACAGTGCTATTCCTGTGGTTGAGAGGCCTCAGGAGGAAGATGGCTAAACAAATGATGAGACCATGTCTCCAGCCAACACGGGACAAAAACAAAACACATGCCTGAGGAGAGAGTCACAGAGGGCATCCAAGAATCGCAAACATCTGAGTGTTAAGATGAGTAGGAGTTTGCCAAGTAGACACAGAGGGAAGAGGGCCCAGTGTGGGAGGACCAGTGCAGGGCACAGAGGCAAATGAAGAACATGGGGTGTTCTAGTAACTTCAAACCATCAGACTGAATTTGGAGAGCACCGTCTGGTGAAAAGTGTAGGCGAGGGTCAGCTCATAAAGGAACTCAGGTCAGGCTAAGCAGGTCTGACCTGTGCAGCAGGTGGTGAGAGATGATGACCTGTGAGCAGCAGAATCATTAAGATCCGATGTGCATTGTACAATGTCACTGGTGGAATCCATGAGGAATGTAGGGGAGGCGATGAGACTGTACGCAGCGCAGCCAGGTAGGCAGCGGGGCTGTTGCCAGCAGCCGGGGTGAATGGTAAGGGTCTAACATTAGGACAGTGACAGAAACACTGGAAAGGATTGGAAGAGATTTTGAAGGTGGAACAGGTAAGAGGCTGCTCAGGAGGAATTTAAGCTGAGTCGCAGGTTTCTGGCCTTGGAGATGCAAGACGAGTGCTGCTGCCCTGCACAAGAACAAAAGCCTCAGGGGGAAGCTGCCCACCATTTCAGCCTTAGCCCACAGGATTCCAGGCAAAAGGAACCCCAGGAAATTAAAGGAATATTAAAGACCATTCATCCATTTTTTAAATGTCAATGATGTGTTGTGCACTGTTATTTAAAGGAATTAAGTATTCCTTTAATTTCCTGGGCCATCAGGAAACGCCCAGAGTCACAAACAAGTAGAACTTCATTCCGCGGTCCTTGGTGACTGAAGCTTTAAAATGTGCACCCACCCTAGACTTACAGAGCCAAGTGCTTCTAACTGGACCCAGTAACGTTCAGTCTTACTTTACTTAAACATGCACTTCAGCACACAATTCTGAGAATTCTCAGAAGCAATGCTTACAAGTGTTAAGGTCAAGAGTGCTAGCAACAAGTACTACTGGGTAATTAATTGTGCAAGGGATTGCTAAGCATCTTCAGTGACCATCTTTAAATGTTTATTTTACATTTATGGTATGGTATGTTTACAGAGATAACTAGAGACTAGGAGCTTCTACAGGCATGCTCCA